GACCGGCGGGTCGGGCGGGTGGGACATTCAAGCGGGATCCCTGAGTATGGCGAGAGCGCGATTCCTAAGTAAACTGTGACGGCGTCCTTGGCGCAGCGTGTTTCCTGAGCGTCGAAAGCGCGATTTCTGCATAAATTGCATGGAAGTCAAAGGCGAGAGCGCAATTCCTGAATAAAATGTGAAAGGTTCTCTGGCGGGAGCGGGGGTCTTGATTAAATTGCGAGGAAGTCTTGATTCAATTGCGAAGAAGTCTCAAGCGGGAGCGGCGTTCCTGAGTAAATTGCGAGGAAGTCTCAGATGGGAGCGGGGGTCCTGATTAAATTGCGAGGAAGTCACAGGCGGGAGCACCGATCCTGAGTATATTGTGAGGAAGTCTCGGGCGGGAACGGGGGTCCTGAGTAAATTTGGAGGAAGCCTCAAGCGGGAGCCGTTGTGGTTGTTGTTGTAAACTGGGGGGCCAGGTGGCCAGTTCAAGCAGGAAGACTTTCCCTGTCAAAAAACAGGGTGCGAACGTCGAGGGGCACACTTTGATTGAGAAAAACAGAATGCACCGGTGAGGAGTGGTCAACAATATTTTTTCTTCGAGAATGAGAATTCAACCAAATTAACAACAGCAGCAGCAGCAACAACAACAACAGCAAAAACAACAGCAACAACAGCAACACATAATACACGGCGCCTCCAAGTCCAGAGCATGCGAGGGCGCCCCACGACCACTTTGCGCACATGGCATGCGTAGCGCTCCTGGGCGACCTGCTGAAACTCGGGTGGTACTTATCGAAACGGCTTATGGGCTGAGTGGGTAGCTTGACCCCTCCCCCTACCCCCGACCCCTGGATCTGGACGGGGCCCCCCGCGCTTATTTGGAGCATGCATCTTGGCATCGGCTAGAATGCAAAAATCATTGATTTCACTTCGATTCCAGGCTTTGCTCATAGTTTGGCCTCCGTGAGCGGCAAGGCTAATCGATACCTCTACTTCTTTGACCGATCTCCTCCCAGATGGCCCCAAGATGGTCCACAAGGATCCCAACAGTGGCCCAAGAGGGCCCCGAGAGGCGCCCAGAAGGCCCCAAGAGGCCCCAAGAGGCCCCCAAGGGGCCCCCAAGAGGCTTCAAAGAGAACCACGAGAGGCCCCAAGGGGCTCCCCCGAGGCACCCAAGACGCTCCAAGAGGCTCCCGTTGCCGCCAAGAGGCCCCCAAGACGCCCCAAGACGCCCCCATGACGCTCTCAAGAGACATCCGAATAGACTCCGAGAGGCATCCAAGAGGCCTCTGATCATTCTGCTCGCCCTCTCCTCCAACTCTTCCTCTTCTTCACCCGCCTGTTCCTCTTCCTCCCTCCTCCCGTCACTCCCTCCCCCTCCCCCTTCCTCCTCCTCCTCCTCCTCCTCCTCCTCCTCCTCCTCCTCCTCCTCCTCCTCCTCCTCCTCCTCCTCCTCCACCTCCGTCCTCCTCATCCTCATCCTCCTCCTCGTCCTCCTACTCCTCCTCTCCTCCTCCTCCACCTTCTCCTCACGCCTCCTCCTCCCCCTCCGCCCTCCTCCTCCTCCTCCACCTCAACATCCTCCGTCCTCCTCCTCCTCCCACCTACCTCCTCCTCCTCCTCCTCGTCATCATATCAGCATCACCACCACCAACCCCAACCAACCATCATCATCATCATCATCATCATCAACATCATCATCATCATCATCATCAGCATCATCAACATCATCATCATCATCATACATCACATCATCATCATCATCATCATCATCACATCATCATCAATCAACACATCATCATCATTAAATCAGCATCACATCATCACATCAAACCCCATCATCATCAGACCATCAACAGCAGGCAGCAGCATCATCAACATCATCAACAGCATCATCACAGCAGCACATCACAGCATCAGCATCAGCAGCAGCAGCATCATCATAATCCAGCACATCATCATCATCATCACAATCATCATCATCATCATCATCAGCATCATCATCATCATCATCATCATCATCATCATCATCATCATCATCAGCATCATCATCATCATCATCATCATCGTCGTCAAGATCAACATCATCATCATCATCATCATCATCAGCAGCATCAGGATCATCATCATCATCATCAGCATCATCATCATCATCGTCAAGATCAACATCATCATCATCATCAGCAGCAGCAGCATCAGGATCATCATCCTCATCATCATCATCAGCAGCAGCAGCATCAGCATCAGCATCAGCATCAGCATCATCATCATCATCATCATCAAGATCAACAGCATCCTCATCATTATCAACAGCATCAGGATCATAATCCTCATCATCAGCATCATCATCAGCAGCATCATCAGCATCAGCATCAGCATCATCAGCAGCATCAGCATCAGCAGCATCATCACCATAGTCAGAATCATCATCATCATCATCATCATCATCATCAGCATCATCATCATCAGCATCATCATCATCAGCAGCAGCATCAGCAGCAGCATCATCATCCGATTCTTCATCCAGCCTACTGCAGGATTGCCGCGCTGGCATCTTTTCCCGGAAAAGGCGCGGGCCCAGGGTTCTCTATTAGTAGGTTTACCCCCGGAATCGACTTGAGGTGGGTCGGCGAATTTCTTCTGCGATAAATGACAAGGGATGCAGCATCAGCATCAGCATCAGCATCATCATAATCAGCATCAGCATCATCATCACCATAGTCAGAATCATCATCAGCATCATCATCATCATCAGCAGCAGCATCATCAGCAGCAGCATCGTCATCATCGTCATCATCGTCATCATTATCATCCTCCTCATCATCAGCATCATCATCCGATTCCTCCTCCAGCCTTCCCCTCTTAGGGTATGACGGCTTCCCCAGCCCTTTATTGCACTGCATGCTCGTCCACATCCCTAATTAAGGCAACTCGCCTTGGCATCGTTTCTGGATGGGCGGCTGGGGTTCCGCGAAGCGTCTGGAAGAGCCTACTGCTTGGATTCCACGTTGACTGCTGGCTTAGATAGTACACTCGCAGAATTAAGAACACTGGTAATCGTACCTTGCACGCTGGGGTGCAATAACCTACTGCAGGATTGCCGCGCTGGCATCTTTTCCCGGAAAAGGCGCGGGCCCAGGGTTCTCTATTAGTAGGTTTACCCCCGGAATCGACTTGAGGTGGGTCGGCGAATTTCTTCTGCGATAAATGACAAGGATCATCATCAGCATCATCATCATCATCAGCAGCAGCAGCATCATCAGCAGCAGCATCGTCATCATCGTCATCATCGTCATCATTATCATCCTCCTCATCATCAGCATCATCATCCGATTCCTCCTCCAGCCTTCCCCTCTTAGGGTATGACGGCTTCCCCAGCCCTTTATTACACTGCATGCTCGTCCACATCCCTAATTAAGGCAACTCGACTGGGCATCGTATCTGGATGGGCGGCTGGGGTTCCGCGAAGCGTCTGGAAGAGCCTACTGCTTGGATTCCACGTTGACTGCTGGCTCAGATAGTACACTCACAGAATTAAGAACACTGGTAATCGTACCTTGCACGCTGGGGTGCAATAACCTACTGCGGGATTGACGCGCTGGCATCGTTTCCCGGAAAAGGCGCGGGCCCAGGGTTCTCTATTAGTAGGTTTACCCCCGGAATCGACTTGAGGTGGGTCGGCGAATTTCTGTTGCGATAAATAACAAGGGAAGGGTGGGCCGAAGAATTCAAAGATTGAGGATGTCCAGAGCGAAACGCTTGTTTCGATGAAACTGTTGAGGATGTCTCGAGCGAAACGCTTGTTTTGTGTTATAGTTTGTCCTCTCCTGGGGACCAGAATTCAGAGGATCCCTCAAGTGAAATGCTTGTTTTCACGTGCCCAGATCTTGAGGATGTCTCGACGCTTGGTTTCACGCGTCCAGGTTGCCCAGGCAAATGTCTAGCATGAGGACTTGTTGAGGATGTCTCGAGCGAGACGCTTGTCTTCACGCGTCCAGGTCGCCCAGGCGGATGTCTAGCATGAGGATGTGTTGAGGAAGTCTCGATCAAGACGCTTGTTTGCACGTGTCCAGGTTGCCGAGGCGAATGTCTAGCATGAGGATTTGTTGAGAATGTATTGAGCGAAACGCTTGTTGTCACGTGTCCAGGTCGCCCAGGCGCAGCACAGCCCTCGGCACGGTACATCAAGATCGATACACTCAGCATTGCAACCTGGCACGTTCCCTGGCACGTTCCGTGGCGCGTCCCGTGGCGAGTCCCCATGGCACGTCGCGCGGCGCGTCCCCCGGCACGTCCCGTGGCACGTGCATTGGCATGTTCCGTAGCGCGTCCCCTTGGCACCTCCCGCGGTGCGTCCCCATGGCACGTCCCCTGGCGCGTCGCCTGGCGCGTCCCTTGGGACGTTCCGCGGCGCGTCCTCCTGGCATGTCCCCCTGTCAAGCAGCTCTGGGGCAGCTAATTACGATGTGCTTAGGCAGCTCGAGCTTAAGATCCAGATCAGTTCGGTCAGGACTCGGATGCAAAGGAGGACTCGATCGACAACGCTATAAAGAACAATCGCGGCATGGCACATCGCAATTCAGCACGGCGCAGCACAGCACAGCCCTCGGCACGGTACATCAAGATCGATACACTCAGCATTGCATTTGCCCGTCGCCCAATCTGGTGTTTTTGAAACGCTGCCATGCCTTACATTTCTAGTCCTTTCCAGGTTCGTGGGTAGATCATGTTTCCAAAGTTTGCAATGGTTGATTTGGCCTGGTGACTGGCGGCCCTAGGCTCCAGAACGGTCCAATAGTTGGGGGCACCTTGAGACCAGGGGCACTTCTGTCAGCACCCGAGCAGCACGACTGCCGTGAACTGGTGTATCACATGAACTGGGCGCGTGCTACATCAACATTGCCTGCGGATGAAGAAAACCAGGAACGACGGCATACTGCAATGACCCTTTGGGCGCCCCATCTCTATCTTAGACTGACAGAGCTGCCAAGTTCATCGAATCAAATGGGACTCCATCACGCGGCACCTGTGCCAGACCTGTTGGCAACGGCTGCAGATCTCACCAACCTTGCGAATCTTGTCCATCGGTCCAGGCCCTCTGGAAATTGCTGCTCCGCCACTGCAGAGCCCTGGCTCATCTTGCGAATCTCCATCAGCAGAGCAAAGTAGTTCTGCTCCAGCATCACCTCCAGCTGCTTCGCCATCCCGCCAACTCCGTGCTGCATGCCATCGAAGCTCGAGGTCCTGTCGGCGGCGGTTCTCGACGAATGGTTCGTCCACTGCGCTGGCGACCAGTCGGCATTCTCCTCCACGACCTCCGCTTGCCCAGACCCGCCTGGCGTCGGCGGCAATGCGGACGCTATGGTAGAAATGGCATCCAGCATCTGGCTGCAGTCCACCTGCACCTTGCAGTCTTCCATGCTCCTGCGGATGGAAGCATCGAGCTCGGCAGAAAACTCCCACGATTGCTGGCAGAATGATGTCATCTGCTCGCGCAGCTGCTCACTGCCCTCTGCGAAGGCTTCAATCCTGGAGAACAGCTCGTCAAGGTGGTCAAATTTTGACAGGAGCTGCGCTTTCACGGCACTCATCTCCTCGTGATTATGGCATTTGGCAACGGCCTCCGCCAACTGGGTGGAATCAATACCTACAGTGCAATCCTCGATACTCTTGCAAATTGAGTGGTTGAGCTGGACCAATTGCTCCGTTGACTGGCACACGAGTGCCTCACCCACCTGGGCGAAGCCCTCGCGGATCTTTGCCCCTTCTTCGCGGAGGTCCCGCTGAAACCGAGCCACGAGGGACTGCGACATGGTCGACAGCGACCTCTGCATCTCGGCCGCCACTTCCTGCACAACGGTGGTCACAACCGTACTCCTGCGGGAGGACGCCAGCCATGCGCCAACACCAGTCCTGGCCCTGGCTTGTGCTGTTCCCATCGTACTTAAGGACCACATCCCGGCAATAATTTCGAGCACCCAGAGAAGTATCGAAACAGTGTCGAACGGGTATCGCCTCCCAGGGCCCGACACGTGAAAGCCCTCCAGTTTCGGTACTCTCTTGGTGCTCGCAACTCTGTCTGGTGATCAAGGCTAAGGTTAAGTCGGGCGTGTCCCCCTACAGGGAGATTTTCGACGAAAAACAAAAGAATATTCAAAAAATGCTCCAAGATGGTCGCAAAGACTCTAAACATAGTCCCCAAACTATTTTTTGACTATTTTTGAATTTTCCTCCTGTATAGGGACAGGCCCGACTTAAGGCTAACGTAGGCTCGGGAGCGGCCCAGAGGGGGGTGTCCAAGAGGGGGGGGTGCAGATCATGGCCAGGGACACGTGCGCGGCCCAGCGGGGGGGCCAGGGACGTGATGAAACAAGAAGAGGCGCCATGAAATCTGGGGAAATATCATGGCCTACGCCATGATATTCACCCCCCCCTATCGGGTTGGGCGAAAGGGGGGGATAGCAAAGGGGGGGTGTTTGAGAATCAGCTCACGTAGCTGATTTTCCCAGCGCCCACCGGCGCCGGAGGCGGCTATGTATCGAGGAATGGGCCCCTCGGTGAGGCCGAAACCAGCTGCATGCAGCAAATTTCGTAACCCCCCCTTTCCCAATCCCCCCCTTTCGCCCGGCCCGACCCTAGTCATCACCCCCCTCTTTTCCGCCCCCGATAGGCTGGAGCATCCTAAGCCCCAGCCCGGGCCCAGGATCGGTGCGGCACGCCACCCCTGCGCGGGCCCACGGGAAATCGGGGCCGGTGCGCCCTCCCGGCCCCCCGGCCAGGAGGGCGCCGGGAAGCCTGGCCAGGACGGGTGGTGCACGGGAGGCCTCCTGGATGGGGTCCGAGCAGATTCGGGGTAGGGTTAAGTCGGGCCTGTCCTCCCACAGGGGAAATGTTCGAAAAGAATCAAAAAATAGTCTGGGAACGATGTTTTGACAATTTGTTGGGGTATTTTGGTGCATTTTTGGACTATTTTCTATTCTTCGTCCAAAATCCCCCTGTAGGGGGACAGGCCCGACTGAAGGGTAGGGGTAGAGGGGAAGGCTTCTTAGAAGGGGGCTGCTTCTTAGAAGGCGCCGGCCTTGCGTCTGTAGACGAGGCTCGCGCCTGCTAAGGAGCAGGAGTGCTTCGAAGAAGCCTTTCCCCCCTCCCCGTACCTCGGGGATGGACAGACCCCCCTTTAGTAAAACGTGGTTTAGTGAAAACGACCTGAAGCCCAAACCTGGTGGGCGCAAGCCTGAAAAATAACGGCCACGGCGCCCTCTCGAGAACCGAAAACGGACAATTCACTAATCGACGTGTCACTGTTGGGGGTTCTGTCCACCCCCGAGTACCACCCTCCGCGCGTGCCCGACCCTAGATGGGGTCCGAGCAGATGGGATCGGAGGCTCGCGCCGCACCGCCACTGCAGTGGCGATGCATCGCCGATGCATCAGCGGTGCAGAGGAGGAGGAGGAGGAGGAGGAGGAGGAGGAGGAGGAGGAGGAGGAGGAGGAGGAGGAGGAGGAGGAGGGGAGGGAGGGAGGGAGGTCGGCGACTTCGGCGCTGCGTCAGCGACGCTGGCGTGGAGAAGATCGGGCTCCACCTCGGGCCGCATCGCCGGTGCACCGCCGCTGCGGCGCGACCCTCCGGCCCCGTCTGCTCGGGCCCCGCCCAGGAGGCCCAGCGTCGGAGGCTTGGACATGGGCACCAACACCAACACAGGGGGGCTGCCTCCACAAGGGGAAAATGGTCCTGGATTCTGGTGTTGGCAGTAGTCTGGCCGGGACCGTCCCGGGGCCCTGGCGTCACCTCTCCCCCGCCTGGAGGGCGCCCGCGCGCCAGCCCGAACGAACAGCTCGGGCCCTCAAACCCGAAACGCCCCGAGCCTGGCCGCACCAGGCAGTAATCTTCCGGCCACCTAGGAAACCACCGTAGGGGTATAAACTTTCCAGCCGCCCAGGGACAGGCGCCCCCGACAGCGAAAAAGTTTATTTTACACCTTTCTTCGCCCGTTAAATCACCGAGGTGGGGATCATCCTCCCTCAGTGGAGGCACGCCGCCGATGCTGGTGCCGGTGTCCACCTTAAGGGCGCTCTGGCAGGTGCACGGCGGGCGCCCTGAGAGCTCCTGACCTCGGCCCTCACCTCCGCCACCATGGCGGCCGCGACATCGCCCGCCACCCGGGCCTGCTCGGGGATCCTCCTGACCCGGGTCACTCCAGACCCGGGTCAGCAGGGAACCAAACAGCTGCAACGCAGAAAAAAAAAAAAAAAAAAAAAAAAAAAAAAAAAAAAAAAAAAAAAAAAAAACCATCGCAGGTCTTCGCAAACCCGGGTCAGCCAGTGTGCGCGGCCGCCTCGCGGCCACGAACGGCTCGCTGACCCAGGTCAGCCTCAGAGGGGGTCCTCGCAGGATCCTGCAGGATCCAGCGCCCTGGCTGACCCCCGTTTGCACCGACCCCCGTCTCTCGGCTACACGCAAGAGTGACCCTGGGTAAGAGGGACCTTTGGTGCGCGGCTTTTTGGGGGCCGCGGGGGGACCAAACCCGGGCGCGCAAGCCGCTGCTCCTGCTTCGCTTCCAGCCATCTGGGGACCCATCCGTGCCCGCACCAAATGTCACTCCGGCGAAAGCTCGCTCTTACGTCTAGTCGAGTGTCTGAGGCCCCGACCTGCAGGGGCCAGCGCCACTCCAGGAGGAGGAGGAGGAGGAGGAGGCGAGGAGGGAGGAGGAGGAGGAGGAGGCCCCGACCTGCAGGGGCCAGCGCCCCTCCGGCGCCGCGCGGCCGCGGCAGCCGCCGCCGCCCGCCGACGCCGGCCGCCAGGGCAGGCCGCGCCGCTCCGCGAGCGAGGCGCCCGACATCCCCGGGGGGCGGCCGCCGCGGGCGGATCCGCGGGCGGCCGCGGGCCGCCGAGGGCCCGTGGCCCTACAGGTGGGCCGTTGACCTAAGGAACCCTAATTTTTGTTTTCCCCCTCAAGGGGGCTATACCTCAAGGGGGCTATACCTCAAGGGGCTATACCTCAAGGGTGCTATACCGCTTCCCCTCAAGGGGGCTATACCGCTTCCCCTCAAGGGGGCTATACCCGTGCGGCAAGGCACCTAAGGAGCCCTAAAGAAGGAACGAGGCCCCTTTTTTTCCATAGGTTGAACTTCGATTTCCGATCGAAGACATAATCAGAAGGACAGCCTGAGGCAGGCTGCGAAACAATCAAGGAACGCGGAGCCCCTCCCCAACGAAAAGGGTTCCTTGTGTAGCGCCCCGACTGTAGACCGATGACCCTCAGAACATGTGCTGGCATCAAGTCGGGCCTGTCCCCCTACAGGCCGATCTTGGACGACACATTAGAACACCCACAAAAAAAGATCCTAAAAATGCTCCAAAACGGTTTAAAGATAGTCCCTGGACCATTTTCACTATTTTTGAGCATGCTCCATGTAGAGGGGCAGGCCCGACTCAATGCTAGCCCCAACGTGTCTTTGTCCACTGAGGCCCTCCAATACGACGCCGTCGGCTCCACGAGGGCCGACGCAGGCTGCTCGCCCTCGGCGGAGACGAGCCGGGTGGGCACACGCTTGTCGGGTCGGGCGAAAGGGGGGGATAGCAAAGGGGGGGGTTGAGAATCAGCTCACGTAGCTGATTTTCCCGGCGCCTCCCGGCGCCGGAGGCGGCTATGTATCGAGGAATGGGCCCTCGGTGAGGCCGAAAACAACTGCATGCAGCAAATTTCGTACCCCCCCCTTTTCCAATCCCCCCCCTTCGCCCGGCCCGACACGAGGGCCGACGCAGGCTGCTCGCCATCGGCGGCGACGAGCCGCGTGGGCACACGCTTCGGCCGTGGACAAACCTCCCTTTAGTAGACCTCCCCTTAGTGAAAACGGCCTGGGACCGAAACCGACGGACCTGGACCCGCAAAAATGACGGCCGCGACGTTCTGTCGCGAACCGAACACGGCCAATGCCTTAATCGACGTGTCAGGGTAGGAGGTCTGTCCACCCCTGGACGCTTGGGGCCCAGCGCACGCCCTGAGGATCCTCGACGGGAGGCCCCCCGACCTGCGCCCCCCAACGGGGCGGGGGCGCCGGCGGCGGGAGGCCCCGGGCTCGGCCCCGAGGGCTGCGGCGGCTGCGGCGCGGCACTGAAAGAGTCCCCGCGGGGGAAAAAAACAAACAAAAACAAAAAAAAAAAAAAGGCCACGAATCCTACTGCAGCAGCAGGGGTGAAGAGGCGAGGCAGGGGCGAGGGCAGCGGGGCCGGGGGCGAGAGAGCGCGACCAGGAGCGAGCGTGTGTGCGCCTCGGTGCGTCTTTTACCAGAAGTCGTGGCTGTCGGGACCAGGCACGCAGCTGGCCTTGAGGAACAGCACGGCCAAGGGCACCTTAGCCAGTTCTTGGCATGTGATCGTGGCCGCCTGGACCAAACGTGCAGCACGCATTGAAGCGATGAATTATGAGGGAGTCTCAGGCGAAACGGCTACTGGAGCAAACGTGCTAGGGCTCCCTGTCCCCCATGTGGCACTCTTCTGTGGTCTTGTTTCGCCACTATCAGAGACCTCTAGCGAAACGCTACTCTATAATACAATTCTCGGACGGGGGGAGGCTTGCCGGCCCCGAGACCGTCAAGAAAGGACCCGGGATGAAAAGCCACTCTCCGGGACCGGGAAGGGGCCCGGACCTCTGGGGAAGCACGCTGCGGAAAAACTGCGACGCCGGATGTCTGGGCAAGAGGAGGAAGAGCTGGAGCGTGAGAGAGGAGGTGGTGGACGGAGGGAAAGCGTCGAGGCGGACAGGGAACTCCGAACGGCACCGGGCGCAACCAGGGGCTGGATGGACTTCCAGGCACCCAGGCGCTGCCTGTCCCGTGGTGCGGCCGCGTGCTGCTTTGGGGCTCAGAGCCCGAGACGGAGAGATGCGCTGGCTGGGAGACATCCACTAGAGAGCAGAAAATCCGCCCTCGTAACCAATCACCCCGGCACGCGAAGTCGCTTCGTGAGCGCACCAGAAAAAGGCATGGAACAGGGCAGAGCTGTCTGGCCAACCGCCCAGGGCCGTGCAGCAAACGCCCAGGGTCGGGCGCGGGCGATCCACGGCTGATCAACAGCCGATCAGCAGCAGCCCGCGACGGAGAAACGCACTGGCCGGGAGGCACCCGCAGCGGCCCCCGCACGCAAAGGTGGCTCCACGGCGCCGGGCGGCGCCTCGCCCGCTGGCCGTGGCGCAGCACTCGCGGCTCCGGCCACAGCCCGTGGCGCACCGCGCCCCGCGGGGGGGCGGCCGCCGCCGCAGGGCGCGGAGGCGCCCTTGGCCTCGGGCCGCCCCGCGGGGGGGGCGAGGCGCGCCGCAGAGGTGGGCCCCGCCTCGACGAGCGCGCCGCCCACTCGGGCCCCTCCTCCTCCTCCTCCTCCTCCTCCTCCTCCTCCTCCTCCTCCTCCTCCTCCTCCTCCTCCTACTCCCTGCGCGCCGCCTCGGACCGCGGGACGTGCGACGTTATGTTGTATCTTGGGGGGGCCTGGTCTGCCCCGTCGCGGCCCTATCCGCGTCGAATACGTGTCGAATCCATGTCAGGCTCGTCGGATCCGTGTCGGATCCGTGTCGAATCCGCGCCGAGTTCACGCCGGATCCGCGTCGAGTCCGCATCGGGCCCGCGTCGAGTCCGCATCGGGCCCGCGTCGGGCACAAGAAAGGACACCGATTTGGGGGACGGTCTCGGCCAGAACTGTCCTGAGAGCATTCCGTGCAGACCGCAACAAGTTCTTAGAACATTCTCTGGTGGGCCCTCAGGCGAGCCAGGACGCCTCGCCAGTGCTCGACGGAAGGTGGGCCGCGGGACGCGCGGCGGGCCGGACGCGCGGCTCCGGTCGGGGGCAGCGCGGCACGCCTCGGTACGGCCCGCCCCCGACGAGGGCGGCGACCGCGCGCCCCGTCAGCCAGGCTCACCCGAAGACCGAGCATGAGCATGAGTATGGCCACTTGACGGGGTCAGAGCATGCCCACACCACGTGACGAACTACACACGAAGTCAGATTGCAAACGACCTCTACTACGCTTCTCAGCTGAAAACCTTGGGCCACTCTCCGCGGGAAATCCCGTCGAGACATTCAGCCCGAGTCGGAGTGCTCGTCGACGGGCCGCCACGCTTGGAACAGCCTGGAACGCCGTGAGCACCTGCCCCCGCAGCTCGTCGACGGGCCGCCACGCGAGGGACAGCCTCCACGGCCAAGAGGCTGCTGGTCAATTCGCGACCTCAGAGGGTGAAGCATGTAGCCTCGCAGACCCCCGAGCGAAGCTACCGAGCAGCGCTGGGAGAACAGCATGACCTCACAGCGCCTCCGCTGCTCGTCCACCAAGACTCCCCCTGCCCCCTCCAACGCCCCGCCGATGCTTGCTGGTGTGAGAAGCAGGGCCGAGGTCGGATCCCCCGCCGCCTGCCGTGGGCGAGCTCGCTGCTTCAGCACCGCTGCGCCGCCGAGGCAGACCTGCCCTGCCGTCGGCGTGATCTGCGCGCGGACCAGGAGACGTTGACGCAAGCCTGAACCACAGTGACCTGCGACCACGACGTGGGGGTCCTGCTGCCGGCCTCTGCGCCGCTACCACGACGCAAAGCCCAACGCCATGCAGAGGGCAAGCGATCCCGCAGCGCACGCCCGACGCCACGAGGAGGCGCCGCATGTACTGGGCGTGACGCATGTCAGGGCTGGGCAGGCCCACGAGGCGGGACGCATGGACCGGGCGCGCCTTCAAGGCTCAGGAGACGCCGCTGCACTCTGGGTGGGACGCGTGCGCTGGGCGGGCCCACGAGGTCTTGGCCATCGGCCCCGCGCGCAGGACCCGCGCCTGCCGGAGACCCAGGGCGAGAGTCGTTGGAGGCTTGGAAATGGGCACCAACACGGGGGCTGCGTCCACCAGCGGAGGATGATCTCAGATTTTGGTGCTGGTGGTAATTTTTCGGCCACCTAGAAATCTCAAATATTACCACCATCACCGGCATTAGGATCATCTTCCCTCGGTCGCGGCACACCGCCAGTATTGGTTTTGGTGCCAATCTCTAGGCCTCCGAAAGTCTGAGCGGGCCAGCACTCCTGGCGGCTGAGGAGCCTCGCAAGGGCCCCGTTCTTCGCTGGGCGGAGTCGGGCCCAATGCTCGCCGCAGGGGGCCCGCGGAGCCGCACCGACGCAGCCACGAAGCTGCTGCTCGCCGCGCCCTGCAGCTCAGCGATGGCTTCTGACCGAGAGCGGCGCGAGGCTTCTCGCCGATTCGTGCAGCTGATCGCAGCTTCTCGCCGATAGCGGCGCGGAAGCTGTTTGAGTGGTAGGTGAGCTCGCCCTCAGTCAGAAGACGCGCGCTGGGCGTCGAGCGAAGTCGGCAGGCTTTTGCACCGGCTCCTCGTGGGAAGCACTCATCTTGGGCTCATGGAGAACGTGACTCGAGCCAGCGTGGCCATGCAAGGGGGATGGGAGGGAGAGGAAGGGGTGGAGGAGGAGGAGGAGGAGGCGGAGGAAGACGAAGAAGAAGAAGGAGAAGAAGAAGAAGGAGAAGAAGAAGAAGAAGTTGAGGAGTAGCAGGGGGGGCAGCAGGAGCAGGGATGCGCCGACGGACCGTTGGAGGAACCATGACAAGATTGACAGGGCAGGCGAGAAAGGACAGGGCAATGGCCTGACAGGACGAGCAGAATGGACAGGTTGTGCAAGATGGACTGGACGGGCAGAAGGGTTAAGACAAAGAAGGCTTCAACGACAGACGAGACAGACAAGACCGACAGAAGGAACAGGGCAGGCAGACCGTGCAGAACAGACAGGACGTCCAGAACAAACAGAACTGTCAGGAGGGACAGGACTGACACGGACAACGGCAGAACAAACAGAACA